TCGATTGGAGCACGGGAATTTTGATACGAAGGCGATGTTTTTGCATTGTTTTTCACCATTATTTGCCGTCTCCCTGAATGAGGAGCTTTGAGATGGATTAATACAGCAAAATTATCACGAGAAACTGATTTTGGAACAGCTGAAATTTCAGGATAGGTTCTGATTTCCATCGCATCAAATGAATCTCCCCGTTCGTTAGAAGGAGTACTTGGAGTTCGTTGATCCAAAGCATCATCATCATTAAAGATGGCAGGTTCAGGAACTTGATAAATAGATGAACTCTGACGACCTGCACCCGCAGCTGGAGGGGAAGGAAGCCGGCGGAAGACAGTTGTCCAGTCACCACCTGGTGGGAAAGCTGGTTGGTTGATTCGAGTCATTCCTTGAGAAACATTAGAAGCAGGGCCCTGAAAAGGCACTTCTTTCCATTCTGCTCTGCAGACGGGACAAATCCGGTTCCCATGTTTTACGTTAGATGTGATGCAATGGAAGTGGAAAGAGTGAGAGCATTCTGCAGTAAAAATGGCGTGCCCCAGCCCTGGTTTCATCGCAGTTAGGCATATTGCGCATGTCCCCTGAAGATAATAATTATAAACAGTGTGAGATGAAAAAGACCACAGATTAGCGTTACAAATTATCAACGAAGTTCCTCGTACACGTCAAATGTTACTCTACAAGTTGGATCCCTCAGATTAAGACGGTTAACAAAGTCGAGTTCGGGGAATTACTCAAGTTTAGTCTTTGAATACGAAATTAACTGCCAACAGACTAAAAGTAACAACTAGAAAACTTTAATTGGAATTCCAGACCCGTTACTGAAATAGTAGATTTTAACTTCGAAGTCGGAAGCTGCCCAATATTATCCATTCACTACTTACGCTGAGACCTGGTCAACATTGCCTTTAGTTAAAGATTAAAATCACGGATATAGTGGAGCTCTTTAATAATGATAGTTATGATAGATAAAACAAAATTTAGGTATGATGAAAGTTGCAACATGCCTTTGTGGGGGAAAATAATGATAAAAAAGAAGGAAAGATATCCAAGTTCTTTAAATCCGCGAATCTGAGGAGTGCCTCAAGAAAGTATTCATAGATAAAAGAAAAATACGCAAAGGCCAAAGCCCACTAATACAATATAGTGTCTAACACTGTCCCCTTCTGTCGTGATGCAGGTCCACTAATAAGACCAGCGCATAAAAAGGTGAAACAGAATGCAACCCATCCTTCCCACTGATCCTATTTAGATGGCTGATGACCAAATATCGAGGATTCCCAGGCAAATCTCCACTTAATAAAAGGCCAAAGGTCAACGTTAAGTGGTCAAACGCTGAGGATACCAAGGGAAATTAAACAACAATGAGCGAACGACTTTCATATTAAAGCACTAAGACAAATTGAAACTCCAATATTGAAACTTTCGAGACATTAAAAAATAAAATGTCATCAAAAGAAGGGGAGATCAAAGAGACAGAGATGATTCATCGCTCTAGGATTTCTTTCTCTTTAATATTTTTAATGGGGTAAATTTCAACTTTATCTTTGTTCGAATCCAGAAATCTCACAATCAACGGTCGACGGGTCTTTGTGGGGATATATCATTATTAGCACGTAAAGGAGAGAGAAAGAGGGCATAATACAGACATGTAAACAACACAGTAATGGGCTAAAGCCAAGGAAAAAGAACGGTCTTAAATGTAAATCTCATTCAGTTTTTTCTGATAAGCTTAGCCAAGCAACTGGTCCTTAATGGTAAGGCCGCGGTTGAGTTGAAAACAACGCGAGGAATAGTAATCATCGTTCCCGCAATTGTCAGATACGTCACAATCTGATAAGCCCACAACGATGCCCCAACAGAAAAGCCAAAGCCAAAGCAGCAATAAACCAATTGACAGACCTGATACTGATGTGTTTTTCAATCATGTTCATTAAAATTCATTAAAATGTGCCACAACGATGCCCCAACAGAAAAGCCAAAGCAAAAGCAGCAATAAACCAATAGACAGACCTGATACTGATGTGTTTTTCAATTATGTTCATTAAAATTCATTAAAATGTGTTTTCACGTAGAAAGTTTAGTAATTTCGCGGCACCAAGGGTGCAAAAAAAAAAAAAAAAACCAGTGAACGAGCCTCCCCACCGCCACCCAAAGCAAAAATTAAAATAAAATAAAACAGTCCAAAGGTCAGACCAGAATCTCCCATGGAGATTCATTTGATTTTTCATTTGTAGCTGAATCAGAAAAGGCAATAAAAGAGAAAATCTGGAGTTGTTTTTTCAATACACGGAAGTGTGATCGGAAATGCTAACCTTGGGAGATTTGGTTCCGTTACTGGGAAGTCGGAGTCCGGAGGAAGACGGCGTCGGGGTCATTGGGCGGTAACCGGAGCTATGATCGGCCGGCGAAACACTAGAGCGGGAGTGAGCATCTGAAGCTCTGGCGACGGAGTTGAGGGGAGAAGAGGAATCATCTAAAGCTCTTGGAACATAAACGCACATATTCATTCCAAGAGCAAGCTTCACTTTTCTCCATTTGCTTCCCATGTCGGTCCAGAAGGGTAGACAATCAGATCTTTAAGCTGGAAAACTTGAATGGAAACGCAGGAAAGATTTGAAGGAATCTGAACCAAGGAGGAAACATGGTATGGGGAGGGCCATGGAATGGGAGTGAAGAAGATGGAAGCAATATTGCTGCATCTTCCGCCCAATTGTCATTGAATAAGCAGTTTTTTTGAAGGTTTCTTTCTCATTATAATATTTCACCAACTTCGAAGTCGAAACTGCCCCTGCTTTATCATCAGCCTGAATTGAATGACCATTCTAGTTTTGTCAAAGTTTTAATTTGCCTCTGCTACCCTTTTTTTTTTTTTTGGGTCCCCTGGTCAGCGAAAACATTGTAAGCTTAGCTTGAGAATTATATTACTCCCTCCGTTCTTTATTATAAGAGATGAATAACCGAATTACGTTGATAAAAAAAGTAGTTAAAATTAGTTAAGAACAATCAATGTGTAAAAAATATAATTTTTTTCTAAAAATACCCTCATTAATAAGGGGAGAGAAAGCATGAGAGAAAACAATTAAATTATTGAAAGAAAGAGAAGTGTGAGGGAGAGATAGTGTGAGTTGGAGACAATAAATATGGGTAAAATAGGAAATCAACACAAAAAAGTAGGGACAACTTTTAAGTGTCTCTTATATATAGAAATATACCATAAGCATCAAATGTCTCTTATAATAAAGAACGGAGGGAGTAATATATATGGGTGGAATCAAATAAATATATCTACTTTTACCCAATATAGATAAAGTTTGCTACATGTACACATCAATATAGGAGGAAAAATCAAATGGTTCTTCTTCTTCTTTTTTTGCTCATAGTCATCTACATATGCAAAATAGGGATTTGGACTAGACCCCGAAAGGTTAATTTTTTAAAAAAAATCATTGTTGAATATGCATTTTAAAAAAATTGGCAAAATTCTCAATTAAAATTGTATTGGAGAGAATGACTGGATTATAATACTGATACTCTGTATACAAAATTTGTAAACGATTAACTGTTTTTTATAAATAAAAATTTATCAAGTTATGATCGCTAATAAAATTTTTAATGTGAGATGTTTTTTCCTCCAATATTTCCGTCTTTTTTTTTTCCTTCGGACTCTACTTCTAATAGCTTTAATGATTTTAACTTTTCAATTGACATATCGTTATAATTTAGGTGACTTGGTTTGTTAACAACAATTGTTTAAAGTTTCTCCGGAGGATGACGCAAACTGTTTTTAACCACCATGCGTTGAAGGTTGGAATATAGATAGCAGTAAATTAATTAAATGCCACAAAATGACGTATTTAGATTTAAAATCGTTGACCTTCTGGATAATGACGCTTTAGTTGTATTGTATGAGATGATTAGCAAGTTGGCAAATCTCATGTTAGGCCTATCCCTTTTCTGTGATTTGCTTCTGTGTCTTGTCGTGCAGAGATGGATGATTAATTTAGTGATCTAATCATTGTTCAGAAGACAGAATCGATCAAAGATCATATCTAATTGTGAGGTTGGACCTTGAACCGAACCAGGTCGTGCGATTGTTCGCAATCAGAGATTCAGAGTGAGGGGATTGTGCCGGTTTAATAGTAATTTTTGTGCACATCACTCTCTAATTAATTAATTATAATCCAAGCTGTCTCATTCTCTGCCACCTCTCAGTCTCAGACCAAGAAAAAATTTCTCTGCGACCTCACCTCTCCTCCACCACCGCCACCCTCCTCGGGCTGCAAACGAAACGCATTGCAGATTACGCCGCCTGAAAAGAAAAATCAATAAATCATAGTCAAGGACTTAAGAATTCCAGCCCCAAGGGTTGGCCGACTGGAGGGTGCAAATATAGATATTTAAATGATTTCCACGTTAAAAATGATTATTTGGTCAGAATAAAATTTAATAATTAAATTTACAAAATAAAAAAAATATTTCACACGCTATAAAATCATTTTAAAAAAATCCAAATAACCTTAAAAATTCAAATATGTAAAGGAGACCTGTAAAAGTATAATATACGATTTAATTTAAAAAAAAAATTATTTGCGTTTTCAAAATAAAAAAGGAGGATTTTATCATTTACGTAAGATAGAAGAATTATCAAAACAATTTATCCAATTTTTTTTTAAAAAAAAGAGTATTATAGTTTAGAAATTGGTACAGGCTGTCATGCTTAGGTGGGGGACCGACCAAATACTACTTCCCTGCACAGTTTTACTATTTATATAATTTTTTAAAACATTATATCTATATTAATGGTGTTTCTATTCAGCGTGCTTACGTGCACTGCTCCTTCTCATTTTTCTACGGAGGGACTTGAAGACTGCTTTGTCCTTTTTCTCTTCCCGACGTTTTCAAAAAACGAATACAGAAGACGGAGTAATTAATTTCATTTTTCTTTGAAAAAAAAAGAAAAGAAAAGTGCGAGGTTCATCCAAATCTTTCATCCTCATCAAGTGGAGCTTTCTCTAATTGGAAGGAAACGTCTTGGACTAAACTATGTGCCCATACCAAGAAAGAGAAACCGACGCGCGAGAGAGAGAGAGAGAGAGAGAGATTCCAGTTCCACTAATTAATATCAAACCGGCCGAATACTACGGCCACAAACACCATCTACCCCTAGTTGTTGTTGACATTGAATGCCCAGTAAACTATATCAAAACAGAGCCGTCCAGGTGGCTCTCAGTTCTGATGGCTTCTGGGTAAAGATTAAAAGGAAAACCACTTTTGGTGTAACCAAAAGCAAGGCCATTTATTTAAGCACTATTAGAGAACCTAATCTAAATCTTAGTGCATGACGCAACCTTATCTGTTCTATTTTAATGTCTCCGCCATTGATCGTGTTCTTAGGTTTATTCATTCATGACATGCATAAACCGTTGAAGTCAAGAGTTTTTTGTGATTAAATATGGACAGAAATAAAGCAAAAACCTCTCGAATGTGTTAGTTCGGCTCTATATAACTTTGTTTCTTACCTCCAACTACAAATGGCAGCCTTCATTCTCATTTATGAGACAGAGAAGGAATCACATGCTTTTGTAGGGGTTTCTTCATGGAAGCGATACTTTCAGTTTTTCACAGCTAATAAATTGAGGGCCACAAGCCCACAAGAGGCTATTCAAGGAAAATACCTCGTTTGGTCATCAGACAAACGAGGCCATGATAGCAAACATAGACACCAGTTATTTTCTTTCTTTCTTTCTTTCCTTTTTCTCTTAATTTGACGTAGTGGCCGCTCAATGTCTCTGGACCACCCTTTCTGAAAATGATATGGTAGTCACTAATCACTAATGCGTACTCCATTCGGCTGCAGTCCGACTATATATATGTGTGCGTCTTCGGCTAAGGCAATTCACCAAGTGGGTTTGATTTGGACCCAACCCAAACAGCTTCAGAATCCCAACAAAATGTACAAGGGGTGGGACCCCAGACATTCTTTTCCGTGGAGAAAAAAGAGTGACATGGATTAAAGATATTCCAAACTTTTAAATACGAAACTACAACCGATAGGATGCGAGATCGGCCGTTGAGATGAGCGAGACGTGTCACGGATATATTACATCAGCTCATCACTGTTCAATAGGCGAAAACTGTGGGTTAGGATAAAATAAATTTAAACCTCTGGCTTGCAAACAATCTCAGCATTTGTAGGCTCGCTCAAGCAAAATTGTTTGTAAGTGATGCGTTACATCAGATGGAAAAAGACAAATGTTGAATAATGCAGTGAGCAATTTGCAGGGTCATGCTGAACCTTTATGCACATCTGCCTATGATATGTTATAATAAAGATGGTTAGGCAACAAAGTGTCATTTAGAGACATGATTAGGAGGTGACAAACAAACGCTGCTTTAAGCCTTTTTCTGTTGACTTGCCCAAAAAAAGTCTTGCAGACTTAGGGCTAGGAGAAAGAGGCTTAACCCCAGAAAGAATCTTGGGGATTCTTTACCAATGATACTGGCAAGAGCACTCCATCTCAATCCCCACCAGAAAAGGAAGAAAGCAAAAACTGGGGCATTCATTGCCAAGTAGTATTGACGGTCTCAAAAGGAGTTAAAATGGGAAAAAGGAAGCAGTGCCCTGGGGTCTCCTTGTTCATGTTAACTTGTGGAGAAGAATAACTTTGCTTCCAGAGATAGAGGCTCTCTTTTATAACGGGCCCTCTTAAGGCGGAAGAAATGAGTGGGAAGTTTGGACAACATTGTGACTTGTCTTTTCTAGTGTGATTGTGTCAGAGTGCGCAGTTTGTTTGTGGGTGGCTCATCTTTTCTCCTTTAATCTCTGCGAAGTTGGGTTGTTCCGTTTCCTTAGGCCTTAGCTGTGTCCCTCAAATTTAAAGGTGCATTTTCAACTCTAAAATCCTAATGTTTGAGTTCAATGGATCTCAAGAGATGGCCGGTTTGAATTCACCAATATCTTTATCCATGTGGCTTGTGGGTGTTATGCAGAAGAACGTAAGCTGAGATAGGGAAGGTGGGGAATGGGGATAAGCTGGTTCCACAAAACTGAACTTGTTGCTAAAAAGAAAAGGCCAAGTTTGAATGAAAATTGAAAGTTATATGAATGAGTGTGGTGGTTGTCAACTTCCATAGATTGCCTAATAAAGGAGGCAAAAATGGAAGATCAGGGTGGTGGTGAGTGTCCCGAAAGGAAAAGCACAAAGTCAATTCAAACGGCATCTTGTCATGTGTTCAATGACGGAGAATGGGCTGTGAGCAGGAATTGATTTAATTCAACCAATCAAAATGGTTTGAAGATAACATTGGTTTTTTTCTTTTAATTTTATTATTAATTTTCATTATAAAAGATCACCTTGTTTCGTACCAGTAATTAATGCGTAAGGTCATCATAGAGCCTCTTTTCTTTGTTGACCGAAATGTCAAACTCTATGTTGTCAGAAAAAAATGTCAAAATTCAATTTATATTGTTTAACATGAATTAATTTTCATTGAACAGAAAAGTTTTTCAATTCTTTTAACACACTCAAGAATCAACTTCCTAATTGAAATGCAGACTGTTTTTTTTTTTAAAAAAAATCATCAGAATGAAATTTAATCGGGAGCTACATTTCATCAGCGTTGTTGAGCGTAGAGAGGCCATTACTGGTAAAATCAGCAAGGGAGGGTATGGAATTAGCCGGGCCCGTTCGGGTTAGTCAGTTTATATCAAGGAACAAAAAACCGGACCGGGAACTCAACCGGTCCAGGTAGTGGGTTAAGGGTCACTGGTTAGACCGTGGTCGAACCGGGGTCGGACCGGTCATAATAAAATAATATAATTTAATTCACAAAATCAGTTAGGCACCTAAAGTTTGGATTAAATCTATTCCAGAATATATAATTTACAATCAAAATATCCATCACCAATCCACAACTAAACAAAAGGAATTAAATTATATATGTGAAGATCAACATCAGCACAACAGCAAAAACTAAGCTCACAGTATAATCAAAATTATAATGCAGAAGTACAGAACGATAGCTTCTCTTCTGTACAAAATTAATATCAAGTCAATCAACGACTATGGATCTTAAATCTCGCTCTCCTCCCTTCTCAAATCTCACAGCTATGGATCAAGTCAAACAACACTCTCCTCCCTTATCAAATCTGAAATCTCACGACAGCAGTCACAGGGTCATAGCACAGAGAGAAGCAGCTCTTCGATCTTAAAAAAAACAACCCAACTAAAAAGGAAAGGTATTGAGCTTACCCACAAGGCTAGAGCTCAATGCCTGAATCGAAGGTTGAAGCAGGACGTCCGTGAATGATGAAGGTGAAGCAGGATGGACTATGGAGACTCATGACTTGCGATGGGAGCTGTGAGGGCGAACGGTGAAGGCGAAGTCGAGCTACAAATCTGAAGCAATGTGAGCGGCGAAGGTGAACGGCGAAGGCGAAGGTGAAGGCGACCGGCGAAGGCGAAGTAGAGCTGCGAATGCGAAGCAATGTGAGCGGCGAACGGAGCCAAAGAGGAAGGAGTGCCATTGTCAGTGATGAGGCGACGCCATAGATCCGATTTTGTTGGGGTTCACGGCACGAATCTGGGACTTGGAGGAGGGGGAAGAGATCTCAGCGATTTGGTCACAAATGGCCAAATGGGGAGGACTGGAGGAGGACCGGCAGCTTGAGTCGAGATTGGCACCCTAGGGAGGGACAAAGAGTTTTCATTCTGGTTTTTTTTGGACAAAACGACGTCGTTTTCTGTGGCTAGGCAACCAAAAAAAAAAACATGTGAACCGCCCAACCGGTTTTTCCCGGTTCAACACCGGTTTTTACCGGTTGGACCGGTTCCCCACCGGTTCAAACCACCTCCGGTTTTTTCTTCAAACCAGACCGGACTAGCGACCGGTTCACCGGTTTTCCGGTTGAACCGGCCGGTCCGGTCCGGTTTTTTTTACCTTGGTTTATATGACTTCTAATAAACACAATTTATTATACTTGAATAATAATTTCCGTTTTCTCGCAGTTACCCATCGCATCCCGGGAAAGGAACATATTCCTATACTCGTATTTCTGTCTTTTATATTTATTTTTTTTAAAAGTAATTCTCACAGTAATTGCATATGTTAAAAATTTTATCAAATAGTAATTCTAACTAATACACATGATTCATAAAATTATTTTAAAGAAGACAATGCTTATTTATTACAAATAACTAACTTAACTAATTTTTTTAATCTACTCAAATTAGTAACTAGTTTTTGTATTAATGACTGAACGTAGTATTAATAAAATTTGAGGCCTCTTTCGACATTGACTTACCCCCTTCCCACCTTGAAAACTTTCCAGTGCCGCAGCAGGAGATGATATTCCTTTCCGAAACAGTTGCTTCAGACAGGTCACAAACATTAAGCCCAAATATCAAATGTCTAGAATCGAAACTCGAAAGTACCAATGACAAGCAAGTTACATATGTTCTATACCGTGGTGATGACTGTAACTAAAGTTTGACAGAAAAGAGAAACTACTATCAAATTGAGTTACCCTGCATGCGATCCCCATTACAAGTTAAAGATGGGCTCAATAAAGCTACCCCTTACATGTGAGGCCGAACATTTGGCAAATTGAGCCCAAATTGATTGGCAGAATCTATAAGATTATTCAGGCCATAAGAGTAGAAAGGCCATTGCCCACTATTACGAGGATATACCTGATAGGGTGGTGGTGTCGGTTGGGGTAAAATGTAAGGGAGTGAGAAAGGCGTTGCAGGGATGGTACTGGGAACTAGGCGACTGGACGTCCCACTTAGAGGGGTGGGGTGACTGACATGACTCGTGGTGGGCATAGAAGTTAATGATCCATACAGCTGGGGACATGGTGCAAAGGTATGCATATTACCAACAACCTGAGGTGTTCTTGCAGAAACATTGGAGAAATTTCCTGTCGTTCCATATGAAGACTGAATAGGAGTCGCCACAAGCTGAGATCTAACCATGGCAAAGCTACTTTGCAGAGTGGTTGCAGGACGCATACATGAAGATGAACCAACTAGGGAGGGCCTGACAGCACTCTGTTCTCCATGAAATTGAACAAACTGTTGAGCGAAATTTGCATCTGACATTAACCAAGTCGTTAGGAAATGATTAACGAAAAAGGTAACGCAAGCATTACAAATGTACATTAAACACATTTAGTGACATGTATGCTTCATCAATAAGGGAAAAAAATGTGCAATTAACATACCTATTGGCATTCCCGTTGCACCTATTAATTTAGGGCCCCAACATTTTGACCGGATAACCTCTGCTAATTTCATCTCGGCAAGAGTTTTTTTCATATTTGCATTCAAGCTCTTCTTCTTTTGCTGATATTCAACCTCCATCTCCTGAAGTTTCATATTATACTTCCTAACAATTTCTTTCATTTCCTTTTCACGATCAGATTTCAACTGCAATTTCTGCTCCCGTGAGCAAGATAAGTTAAAACTAAAGAATAAAATGAAAGAAAACTCAAACTAAGCATCAACAAGGCAATTCAAGTCAGAAACTGACCACTTTTTCATGGTCTCCCACAGCTTGATATGTTTCTTTACGTATTTTCTCCATTTCAATTTCAAGCGGATCAACGTACAATGGTGGAGGAATCCTAGAAGCAGATCGGGTTGCAGTTTGAATAGGTTGACTGCTCATCCCAGGAGTGGACCTATTTATTGTGTTTGAGAAATGTGTTCTGCCTCCAGTAGGCGTCATTGAATCAAGTTGCATAACAACCTGATTAGGAACCTCATCTATTGCCTGAGGAACGTGGCTGGAGACAGTAATTTCATTGATTCGTTGGTCCTCAGCTGTAGGGGCCAAAGGTAAAATAGCTCGATGCAAGTTGGAAGAAGGCAACCTTACGGACAATAATTGCTGTGCATGCTCCAGAGGCCCCATCACCCGTATCTCACCATTAGCTCGAGCATGTGGCGTATAATCAATTGGACAACATACGGATCCAATTTGTTGAGAAGAGCTCTGTAATTCTTCAGCAGTATTTTCATTGGAAGAAGGGTGCTCTGCAGACGGTAATCCCTTCACCAGATCTTGATTGGCCATTACTTGCCTGTCTTGTTGGGAAGGATTATGCATTTCTTCAACTATGTCGTGGTTGGAAGAAGGGAACTCTGAAGTTGGTAAATGCTGCTCTTGCATCAGAGGCTCCATGACTAGTGATTCACTATTTGATTGATTAGGCAGTACAAGACTGACAGGATTAGATAGCGGCTCAACTTCTTGGGAAAATTTCTCCACTTCTTCAGCTAGATCTTGGTTGGACAAGGGAAACTCTGCAGAATGTAATATCTGTACTTGTTCTGGAGAATTCACGAGCAGTAAATCAGGGTTAGTTAGAGTGACCGGGACAGTACTAAAAGGAGTAGACACCGACTCAGCTTGTTGGGAAGCATTTAGCATTTTTTCAGTAGCATCCTGACTGCTAAAAGGGAACTTTGCAGATGACAGCTGCACTTGCACTGTAGTCTCCATAGCTAGTGACTCAGGATTAGATTGAATCGCTACATCATCAACTAGACCAGATGATCGCTCTGCTTGCTGAGAAGAGTAATGCACTTCTCCAACTCTTACATCTTCATCAGCAATTTTATTGGATGCAAATAAAGAGGTACGAAAATCCTGTGGCACCTGGTAAGTATAACATTAAAAAAAAAAAGGTTTATGTAAAATGAGCCTAATATTATTGAAAAATTTTAAGAACCATTTAGGTAGATAAATCTTCTACTATATATAATTTGGTCCTATTAAAGAAGGACCCTCCTTCCGAAGAGTTTAAAATGACAACTTAACAATTCCTAGCAATTGCTATAAAGACCCCAGTAGCTTTGCATCATGTCAACAGTATTGGGTAAAACAATTAGGAAATATCCCACAAAATTTGAAGGAAAAATAGAGTATCCAGAGAGAATATTCTATACATAGCTATTTGATTGTAGGAAATTGTTTATAACATCCACAATATAATGCAGCTCACCTGGTAACTAGCACCCACTCAGACGCATTATTATCATAAGGGAAACTTTTTAACTTTACTAGCAGAGAAACACAAGTATAATTTAAGTATGCAGAGATAGAGATTAATGAGATTATTTATTTGGATTGCCAAGGTTAAAAACTGATTCGCACCTCATTCACAGCAGGCACAGGGGATGAGATCACTAAAGGCTGCTCTGACTGTGAGCATGATACTGGAATTTCCTGCGACACCGAGTCTTCATTGATGGTTCTAGAAATTCCTTCCTGTTGATCTAATGAAGCAATGTTATCCAACATTATAACATCTGTCTGGTTCTCTTTGTCATTACAACATTCATTCTCTCCATGACTATTTTCTAACACTTCAGTTGGGATTTCTCCAAGAGGTTGTTGCTCTGGCGAGAGTGAATTAGTGTCATAAATAATATCAGAACCATGGCTTGGGCCAGCAGTTCCAAATGGCCTTAGTAATAATTCTCCATCTGAAACATTCGAGGCACCTTCATCAAATCTTTGTTGTATGGATGAAGGAGGCTTTGGAGGAATAGCATTTTTTGGAGAATCAGTCAAAAAGACAGTCCCAATTGTTTCAATAGGTACTTCTTTTTCTAATAAAAATCCCGTGGCACCTTCAGCTGTTCTATCTTCAGAAAAGGGCGAACTGAAGGTGGCAAGTCTATCTAAACCACTACTCTCATTGGCATCGTGGATCGGTACAGCATCATCACAATTTGGCAAGCATACAGCAGTTTCATTTGGGGCAGGATCTGGAGGTAATTGTGAATTTAAGGAGGCGTCCATACCACCGCTTTCATTGGCCTCATGGATTTGTACAGCATTATCAAAATTTGGTATGCATACAGCAGTTGCACTTGGAATAAGATCTGGAGATAATTGCGAATTTAAGGAGACATCCATACCATTACTAGAAACACTGACCTTGCTTCCTAATGAAAAACCACTATCAGGATTAAGCAATACAGTCTGACAAAAGCCCCCCTCCTAGTAGAAGGAACCTCATCCCAGCCATCATTTAACCTGTCAGAATTATGCACTTCGACAGCCGCCTCTTGGATGGAAGCGTCCAATGTTTTCCCATCACATACCTTTCCTTCAGATGAAGGTAGAACTGAATTGACTATATCATCTATACAAGAACAACTAGAATTATTTTGGCTATCACTTTCATATGCCCCATCAGTGGCTCTATTAGAATCATGTTCCTTGGAATCAGAAAGCATGGATATAATATTCCCTTGACTTTCAGATAAACTTTCAGCTTTATTATGACCATCATTTCTTAGATATTGATCCTCCATATGAAGCTGCAATGGAACCTTCATCAACATAATCAGGCGCAGTGCCAACATTCTTTGAACCATCATGAGGCTGAGCTTGGTCAATGGTCTTGGAGTGATTCAACCCAGACCCAAATTCCTTTGAAAGACATATTTTCAGTTCATCTTGGGCCCAATACTTCACTTCTTCTATCCAAGTGGCCTCCCAACGTTGGAATTTCTGCCTTGCTTCCAGTTGTACAGCTTCAAGATCCTTGAGAAGTATTCCATGCTGGCATGCCAAATCTTCAATTCTTTTAGCAAATTCTTTATCCAAAATCTTAATTTTTTCTGACCTCATTGCATCATTAGAAAAACAACAACGAATAACAGCCAATTCTATTTTGTATTTTTCCCTAAAAACAGCCTTTTTCTCCTCATTGACTTGATTCAGCTTATTCTTTTCTTCATCTTGCTTAAGAAGGAGCTTCCTCAGCTTCTTTTGGAACTTCTTCTGAATTTCTTCAATGCTTTTGGTAACATCTTTCATAGCCAATTCAACCCCTGGTGCCACTCCTGTACAGGAATAAACCTTGCTTGGTGATTCACAAGGTCTAGAAAAGCCAACCCCATTGGAATTTCCAGCGCGATATAAAAATATTTTCTTTAGACATCGCAACATCGAATACATATAATCAGCCTCTTGCTTTCTACAGTCAAATTTTAAATGCTCTCTCGCAAGAATTAGGGAATCTCTGTGGTTAATCTTGTGCTTTAGCAAAGAAGCTGCAGTCCAACACTGAAATTTGGAGGGTTGATTAAAAAACACATCGGACATAAATATTGAAAATAATCATTAGGGCATCAAGGACCCGCAAGATAGCAAACTAATTACTTGCAAACAAAAAAGAGATACTAAAATATTATCAGCATCAAATGATTTATAGCGATGAAGAGGAGACCACATTGGAAAAAAAATCCACAGAGAGAGAGAGAGAGAGTCTCACTATTGACAGCGAAAAAGTCTCAGGGGGTGTTTGGGTAAGATCAAAACCATGGTTTCAGAAGTGCTTTTACGGTATACGAAGTAAATATGTGGAGGAGTTTGTCTCGATTTGCGGAAAAGTGCTTTTGAAAAGTGATTTTGGGGTTACCCAAACACCCCCTCAGTTGAAAAAGAAGAGTAAAGTTTGGCCAAACAAAAAAAAAGAAAGAAAAAGAATACGAATGCAACATCAAAGAATTTGATGTTTATGTTAATTAGGAATTCTGGGGTAACAGACACCCAAAGCAATTTTAGTAGAGGAGAAGGCTGAGATCATGAATCAACAACATGAATAATAACGACGCTAGAATAATGTCTACTACAAGATCGCCAAATAGCCATCTATAAATACAGAGACGTGTTAGCGACCACATGCCCTTTTTTCTGAGTGCTTCCCGATCCAGCGACTTTAATTCTCCTTCAATTATTTTTCTTCTATGTTCTCTATTGTGTATTTCTTAAGTCAACCAAAAAAAAAAAAAGATTGTATTTCTGTCTTTATTTAGTTGATAGCATGAAATTATTGTATTGCACTGATCATCCCAGGATATCCCAATTTTCCACGCCTCTGTTTTACAATGGTAAAAGAGTAGAGGTCAGAGATTGATTGACTCTGATCATCCCTCCAACAGTCTACAAGAATAAATAACAGTTCATTTCTCCATGGGGAGAGATGAAAAAGAGGATGAAATGGTAGGAAATACAAGAGAATAATCTGACCAGAGATATTTGAAAAGCCTGCAAGATTGACTCGGATTCCCTGCTAATGTGGTGATTGTTCATAATATATTCAAGAAAATTATGCACCACAGTCTTGACATTATCCTGCATCACATAAACATATTTCAAGATGCCATCAAATTCATATTGATGATGAAGCTTGCATTGAAATATACAAACCAAACTTTAGCCAAAAAGACACATAAAATGAGGTAGCTCTACAGTGCAAAAGGATCACAGGCTACCAATTTTGAAAATGTCTCATAAATGAATTCCAGCCTTTCCAATGATAAAGAACAGCAAAGGACTGACAGACAATAAGTAGAGCATGGCAGAAAAATAATGAGATGCATACAGGAAGAAGAAGAATTTCGCAAAGCTTTGCTATCTCTGGCACCAGTAAGATATGTAAGCTCTTCTGCTCATCACACAATTTCCTTCTTTTCTGATATGTAGCTTTATCACCTTGAGACAAATCAATTGAGTAAAAGGTATAATTATCACAGAGTGGATAGCCGACATTAGCAGTTGAACGCGGCAAGAATTGAAAGACAAGAACTCTTAAAATTTCTCAGCTCCATCAACTACAAAGGTCATAAGAGAGTAGCTGTAATAATAATGGTGACCACTAACCTTCCTCGTTTCCATTGGATGACTTCTCACCTTGAAAATTTGAAGGGGGCTCATAAACAACACCATCTATCACTTTCCTGCGCTTCCTTATTATTTCTTCACTCTCAAAGTTGGGAGTATTTACTGAACCACCAACATGATGAGCCCTTTGACGACTCCGTTGAGATGAACCACATGAGTGTTTCCATTGAGGAACTTTTCCCTTTAAAAGTTCAGTCCAAAACACATGGGGTAATCCCTCATCCGGAGATCCAAGTTTTTTCTCACCAAGCAGAGCAAAATTAGTACAGTATGTTCCTTCATTTAGCTGGACTTTCAATATAATTGAACTGTTGCCTGGATCATTATGTCCACTGTCTTCCAAAAGTATGGATGAGAACTCACGGAATGCTTCTTTGGAAAGTTGTCCGGAGTCTTCAAATGAATAATTGGCACATGAACTAGAACTTTTGCGATAATGAATAAGTCTCAATTTATCAAATAGACAAGATGAACCCCACATCAACAGCGTATGACTGATACTCCAGCTTATGTTCTGCAAATTGCTATCAAGTGTCTTACCTTGCTTAGCAAGAACTAGGGCTTTTTCTTCAACAGTGAAACATGCATACAAACGAAATATTTTTATTTGTTCAGACTGTGAATCAAGTGTTATCCTCTGAAGCGATTTTATATCATTCATTGGATTCCAATCACTATTAAATATAATAATGATATCAACTGATGACAATTTAATGCTAGGAACGCAAGCATATGCTTCCAATAAAAAAATGAATCTTCCACTGTCGATATTGTTGAACAGATTCAGGGCAGCTAGCTTCTTAGAATGCAAGACACCTTTGTCAACCCGCTCATAAGCATCTGAACCAAATCTCTGATGCAAGAAATCATCCAAAATGTCTCCCATGGAATCCTTCCCAGAACCACCTATAGACTGCAAACCAATCATTTTAATAATAATAACATTAGATAACCCACTGGACAAATGAATGTAGGCAACGAAAAAAAAAGAGAAGAATAATAGTCCTCATGTATTAACCTGCCAAGAAAGTTAGGCAGCACAACAATAAGAAGAATACAACTGAAATTTATGATAACAATCACTACTTATTTCTAGGCTTTTTTGACTTCCTTGCTTAAGTAATCCCCCTCAAAGTTGACAGATAATAATTGACCAGTTGACGGTTAAGAAATTTCCGGTCTAGAAAGCCTAGCCAAAGGAAATTAACTATTCTTTGAAGTCGGGATATAAACAATTTTCAACGGAAACTCTATAATTGGAAAAACCTACACTAGAAGTTCCTGAATCACAATCCACCCTAAAAATTATCACTGAAGGGACAACAAAGAATGTAAAACTTGAGTAGTGCGATTGGACTAACTTAAAAGAAATAAATCTTCTTTAGATTGCTTCAAATTCTAATAATAACATTAAAGTCCATAATGAACAATAAATCATCAACATGTTTCCCCATAAAAGCCTTGCCACTGAAATTATAAAATTTTGGCTACTTCTATTAAGATTTTACATATATGAGAATCCCAAATCCCTATGAGGAATTGGAACGGAAGAAGTTTATTCCCTACAAAAGAGAATAGGGCAGGGGGTGAGCAAGACTCCCAACTCTTGTCCAGTTGTCGTCCCTCACAACAAGGAACTTGGTTAAAAGTTGCATTTGGTCAAGATATAGTAATACCTTAAATCAAACTGCACAGGGACAAATATATGTGACGCGCACTTATTGGTGTACGTGTTTGTAAAAGGGAAATTTGAACAAAATAAGAGGAACATGTAAAAGTTTTCCTCCAACCCTATCACCACCCATTCTTTACTAGTTAAGTGCCAAGAGAATTATTTTATATTTATTATCGTGTCAAAACTGAAGCATAGAATTCTTTTAACAATAGAGAAATAGATGCAGAAATTCATTTGCAAAATTGTATAAACCACAATATGTCATAAAAATTTATGAAGAATGGCATGTCCAGCTTGAATTGGAAAAAAAAAGAAGGTTATATTTAAAAGCCCCCAGGGAATCAATACAATAACCCCAAAAACCATATTTATTAGGCGAACTAAAAGATTTCAAATTTCAGATTACAAAGTCTAAACTAATACCTATAGATATTATTCTGTTTTGCGGGCATGTGTGTGTTGATACTCCCTCCAATCCTTTTTATAACATCAAATAACCAAAATGCACAGTTTAGGAAATCTATTAATATTAATTAAAAGTAATAAATATGTAAGATATATTTTTTTCCCCCTTCAAATATGCCCTTATCTATAAGAGGATAAGTGAAAGAGAGAGACAGAGAGAAATAGTGCGGAAAAAAGATGAAAAAGAATGTATAGGAAAAACATAATGCAATTAATTAAGAGTAAAATTGGTAAAAAATGCATTTAATGTTCAGACAACCCCAACCAAACCAATTCAAAAAGATGGATCTTACAAAAAGGAATAGAGAGAGTATATTGATTACATAAAAAGAAACACTAAGTGCCATTGTAGCTACTGTAGGTAACTAGTTTGCTTTTGAAATTCTATGCTGTGGTTCATGAATTGGTCTGCCCATCAGGATTGTTTAAGTAACAGTCAGGTGCACTAACATCGTTATTACTCAAAAGCATGGTGAAGACTTGAGGAAGCACAACTTTTAGAAGCTAGGGGAGGATAAACAGAAAACAAACACCTGAAAAAGAATGAGCACCCTCAGACCCTTCTTTTTCAACTCCATAAGCATTGAATCGAGAGCTTGCAGCTTGCCACTAGCTTTTATTCCAATGTCCAGGTAGTCAACTGCTGGTAGACCTTCGGTAAGCAGAGTTTGTAAAGATGGATCAACAACATAAGGGTGATTACAACACTGCCACGAAATGCCACGTGATAAATAAAAAAGTGAAAACATAATAATTTACAACCACTTAAAGCTTATAAATGAATTGGAAAGCTTAAAGGAATTCCGAATCAAGTAAATTACAAAATACATTAGGAATTTTTGGACTAACGTTGTTTCAAAATGCAAAAACATCTGGAGATTTCAACTTTAAAATAATTATAAATTTAAAGCACAACCCCAAAATATCTAACTCAAATTTATTTTTATCATAATAATTCCAAGTTATAACATGTGCATAGATTGTTTGCGAATACAATCATGTGCAAGACTTGAGAGTAAAAATGTCATTATACACTTCAGTCAAGGAAGCAGTTATTATTTAATTTATCATAAATAACCACGAAACATCTAGAAAAAAATTTCAAATAATAGTATAGTATTCTCATGATAAAAATGGTGAGATCCAAATACTGCATCATAAGAGAGCTAGAATTTTTACCTTCCGAGTTGATATAAGAAGGTCCCGAAGGGCTCCAACACAGTCATATTTTGATGATGACTGAAGAACCGAAGCATTTGAAATTAAAGTAGAACAATATTGTTCAAGCTGCACTTGGGATATCTGTACAGGAAGCCAATACTCCACAAAAAAGGAGTCTGTCTTGCATTTATGTGCATTATCTTCTGTCAACAAAGGACAGTGCTTCTTAGTTCTTTCGGATCTCCTCATGGGACTTGGAATCTTTGGTTGCTCAAACCTCTCAAGTTTCCTTCTCTTTGTGTTAGTTGGTGTTGTCCTTTTTAGTAAACGCTTGGACTTCCGAGTTCCTGGAGGAATTGAAGACGCCCTTAATGCTGTCTTTCTAGCAGATATTTTGAGGTCATTTGCATCCGATGCAGAAGAGCATGAGCGCCTTCCATTATTATTTTCATCATCCTTAGACTTGCTACTAGATCGTGTACTATGTGCCATCTGTTCAGTTATACATTTTGAGACCAATAGAAGAACGTGTCAGATTCGAAAGGACACAAAAAACAATTTTTAAATGTCAACGAAATCTGGAACAATCTTGTCAAGTTGCATCTCGATACCAATTGAGATTGCCTAGGGGGAAAAAATAAAAGAGAATATATTATTGGAAAGTGTAAGGGAAAAACGCTTATATGCACTATTCCATAAGGAAGAACTAAATAGCATAAGAAGCAAGCAACGCGAGACTGAAGTGCACAAGACACGCAGCTCATATGGGGCCAAAAAAAAAAAAACGATACAAGGATCCCTAAGGGATTTAGTAAAGATATCCAAAAGCAAGTCATTTGGGTTGACAAAACCCATAACAATGCAACTGGACAAAATTTTTCCCTAATAAAATGACATCCCAAGTCCATGTGCCTGGTAATCAGAAATTGTATTTATTGTGCATCGTAACTTATGCGATTAAAAATTTCAATTTTTAAAATGCAATCATTTATTTTCAGAAATGGATAATTGTATTAGTAGCACATTATGTCAATTAAAAGTATGCAACTGGATGGCACAAAAGAAAACAAGTAAGACTCCGAAAGTGTACAAATATGTGCTTTTTAAGCATTCAGAATATAGCTATTCAATGGTCAATGGTCAATTAAAGACTAAGCACAGTGCCACTGTAGGGCATGATGCTACCAGCCCCAACTCCTCTCAAATAAGATATCGCAAGTTCCTGCGAAGCATACTCTGCAATGTACGGGCTGTGCATATAATGATACATTCAGACCAAATCAATACATCGTTCATGAAAGCAAGGAGATGGGGGTCAGAGGAAGAAAGGGAAGAGAATAGTAGCTTTGTCTTTGAGCCAAAACGAACTGGAGAAGCAAGGGGAGCCTTGTCGGTCAACAATCGGCTACCGTCCGCCAGCTCCCAGCCGTCGCTGCCAGGTGAGCAATGGAGTCTTGGATGAAGGTACTGCCGCCTCCGCCCCTCGCAAAGAGAAAAAGAGTGACCAACGCGTGGTGGCTCGATGAGGTATGGGGACTGAAATTGAGACTTGAGGATGAAGAAATCTTGAAAGGGCAAACCCGCCGTTTATGCAATTTGATTTGCGGCGTGGAGACTGAGAACTTAGCCCTGAAGATCGAGTTTGGTAGGATTAGAATCCATGCAGTGAACAAATAGAAATCATGCCCAGGTTACGGGAGGATGAACAAAAATCAGGAACCTTCTTCGGTACGTTCGATTTTTTGCTCCCTTGGGAGGGAGAAAAGAAATATACGGCCAAAATTCAAATGGTACGGTTTAGGATTTATTGGGATAGTGAGCAAGAATCTATAATTTTATCGGAAGTCTACCTTTTAATATTAAAAGTTTTTTTTTGCCGAAATATTAAAAGTATTTAAATCATTACCTCCGCTAGAGATAATGTGATCGTATCACTCAACTTGATTTTAGATAGTCAAAGATATATTATTTTTCAGATAATAAATAACATGAATTTTTAAAATTTTATGAAAATTATAAGCTCGCCTATAAAATGCGGGAAAAAATAAAAAAAGGACTGTATAAATTTGTTATCTATTTTATTTATAGTGTGACCGTTTTGTCTGTAACTTATAATCTACTACAATCATATCCCCTCCCGAGAGATGGTTCCGCCAGGCGCCAATTTATAATTGATGAGTATCCATTGATCGGGTGTCAAGGCTAACACATGTTAGGCAAAATGGAAGAGCTGCATCAATCTCTTACTGTCGTTGTTATTGTTTTTGAATTAAATAGGCATTAAGGACATAAAATTATAAAAATTTGAATGAATCCGTAACATCTTCTTTTTTTTAAATAAAAAAACTCACGTGTCATTATACTGCCATGTCATCACTTACTAATATTGTTTTCGGAGGTGAGCATTCTCCTTCATTGGCCAAAAAGAATAATAAATGAAACATTCATTTCTATAGATTTCTTAAACACGGTATTGAAAAGTTAGAACATATTTTATTACTCTTCTGATTCTAAATATAAAACTTATTTTGTAATGTCAATAACACTACAAAATTCCTCATAAAAGTATATTGTTATATTCCTCCGGTCCTTAATATAAGACCCATTTAACTAATTTAATTAGATTAAAGAAGTTAGGTAAGTTAATTAATTATAAGAAATGTGACATGCTTTTCCTAAAAAACCATAATCATCTTTCTTAATACCCTCTCTATACCTCTTTTACTTGATTATGGTTGAGGGAGTATCCATATGGATAATTTAAAAAAAATTGATAAATATGATAAATGGGTCTTATATTTAGAACCAAAACCAACTCAATAATTGAGTCCTATATTAAGGACCGGAGGAGTATTTAATTTTTGAATTATACATTCACCTTCTGTGAATTTGTTTGACCATTATTTTCCGCGCGATGGCAAGATCTGAATCAAATTGCAGACTCAAAAATGAGAATCCAAGATTTCTGTGAAATGGGAACTATGCCCCGTCTGCAAAAACGAAGCAAGCACGAGCAGAATCAGCCCAATAAATTATGAAGTAGGAAGAAGTCCTTTTGCTGGGCTGTACGTGCCTGTGAGCCCACCTAGCAGTGTCCGACATTTTTCGAATTGGAAGGATAAGCGCTGCAATATAGTATTCCCTCTACTGCTTAATATAAAACCTATATAATTTGTACAAAAAAGAAGATCCGGATAATATTTAAAAAATTAGTTATTTATATTTATATTAAATAGATACTTCTTTATTAAAATATCATTATTAATTATGAACATTAAAACAACTATTGCAATCACTACAGTAATTAATTAGGAGCAAAATAAATAAATATGAAAGACAAAATAAATTAAAATTTTATTTTTAGAATCACATTAAATTTATAACTAACTCTTATATTAAAAATAAAAAATAATATTACAAATTGAATTAAATTTGTGACATTTTAGGTATGAAGAAGCCTACATGCCACAAGTTGTAAGTCTGCCCATAAGCTACAGGACAATTAGCAGTGGCGGCTAGCTAGTCGAGAACCTCTTTTCTTCCCTTCTCATCCTCTGTCCTTGTCTTTTTTTTTTTTTTTAAAGTTATCAGGTTAATATTTTAATGGTTCAGAGATAAATCTTTTTAAAACTGTTTTAAAATATTAAATTATAAAAACAAATAGATAATAAATTATAAACTCTATTAAAAATTAATTCTAATAGTTTGCAATATACTAAATATTTTTTAAAAAATTTATAAATAGCTTATAAAAAGTAAAATCTTAACCATTGAAATATGTTAATTCCATTATTAGAAAAGAAAAAGGAGAAAAAGGATGGGGGGAAAAAAGAGTAGAGACTGCAAAGCGGAAGCTAGCGCTTACAAGGGAGAATAATGCGCGAAAGTTTTGTCCTTTCTGGGTTACTTCTCACAGCTTCATTTGGTCATGAGAACCGATAACAAATGACCACGTCAAATTGTTCACCTGGTTCAATGCCATGAATTACACTCAATTATCAAAGTTAATCAGTTTATTAAAAATGCTTTGGGCACTTGGGTTCGCGTTTTTCTTTGACGGCAATCAATGTTGATCTTGAATGTTAAATTGTGAAATCCCAAGTGCTTGGCAGTGTTTTTAATGGCGTTAAATCTTGTTTGAATAATATATGAAAATATATTTTTCTCCGTAAGATATGAATATTTGCTTCAAAAGGGCAAAGCAACAATAAAATCTGGATATCATGCAAATTAATGTCAATTTCCTGACGTCGCCGTCAACTGACAAAAATACACACACACACACATATATATCCACGTCGATTCATGCAGCACCGTGAGTTACTAATGTAACAACATTATTTTACATTATTTATTTGTTCAGGATGTCAAAGATTCACACTTTACGCTATTGGAAGTTGCGAGTGAGATTATTTACGGCAGAAATTTTGATATTTGGAGTTGCACCAAGCGACCATTTAGTTGTTGCTGGGGTCTCGCATTGGCATAAAATACCTGCAAAAGTAGACGAATCAAGCTGCTGCTCAGAAAATTTTTCCCTGGCGAGTATATAAAAGCGTTTATCACATTAAATGATGAAATTTAATTTAATTACACTAAATGTACATTAAATGAAACCACAACGGGACTACAGATGTAATCTTATTATACGGCTGATGAACTCTGTTCAGTGTCATCTTTCTTGTCAGAGATAGTTTGTATATGAGTATAAAATCATGATTATTGATGAATTTTGATCATTCTTAATCTTTCTTCAGTACAGTTTCTTGTGGTTCCTATAGTTTAATGATAATGTGGATGTGCAGAAGGCGAGCGAAAGAAATTAAAGTCATAACTTACGTCTCTTTTCAAAGGAAAAAAGATGGGGAGAAAACGAAGCTTACGTTTTGAACTGCAAGTCGAAGCAGTCCAACTTGCTCCTTTGAAACGGGTTTAACCTGATGAGATATGAAAAACGCAGAAGTTAAGAACAGCAACGATGACAAGGATAATCCCTCACGCACATTAGTGAAATAATGCTTTGACATGATTCTTATTATTGGCAAAGGAAGATGAAAACCTCTCCAACAATGGTCCACACCACATTCTCATCACAAGGAGGAGTAGTTAAAGAACCCATATATCTGTAATACCGTCTCCTGTTTATGTTGATGACAAGCTCTGGATCAATCACACCCAACGATAATTTTGCCTCTCTGTCTTGAGAAATGTGTACCAAATCATCCGTTACCTGAAAGAAAAGAAGATCACACACACATCCAAACACAGGACAAGAAAAGAAATAGCTAGCTAGCTATGGTACATATATATATATTTAATTAGCCACCGTTTGCAAGAAACGATCGGGTAACCAGCCGATTTCGTAAAATACGCCAATCACAGCAATCTGCCCTGCTTCACTTTTGTGCACCATATGTATCTCTAAATCAAACCTGCTTTTCAAATATATGATGTGAGTGCATGAAGCGAATGCACGTATCGATCAAGCTTCCAATAGTATGGCCATGATATAAATGTGTACGATTAATATAATTAAAGAGGGAGCACCTTTTGCCATCAATGGTGTGCTCGGAAGGAGAGTGCCAGTGACACTGTTGGAGAGCGTATTTGGCTCCATTGATGAGCAGATAGCCCGCGCCTGAAGTCCACTCCAACTAGCTAGGCAACCATTCCCATATGATTAAATTAGCCATAAATCTGAATCATGTGTGTGTGTGTGTGTGTATAGAGAGAGAGCAGCGTGAGGTGATTAATTACCCTAATATCATGGCCGGTATTAAAAAGAGAGGCATTGGAGGGGCGATAGTTGATGTGAAGAGGGCCTAGACGGGATGTAAAGTGAACCTCACGATTGCTGAGGCGAATGGGAGATTGGCTGCTTCCATTTTTGCACTTATACCACTCGGGTCGAATGTCTCCCCACTGAGCCGGCCCATTCTTGCTATTCGGATCGTAGTCGAAATCATCCGCTGTGCATCACACCAACACGATCGAATAAAGCTGGAGAACACATATATAGAGGTGCTGTAAATCATATACGAGCGCAGCATGAAATTACCAGGAGAGGTTGCAGCAGAGAAAGAGAGGAGAAGAAGTGCCAGGAAGAAATGGGCGGTGAGGTCGTCCATGGATAATCTTGCTATTTATGGTGAGAGAGCGCAGCGAAAGTGTTATATATAAAGCGTATATGTACAGAAGAGAGGTGCGAGTGAGAGTGAGAGACGCATAAATCGTTTGGGAAGGAGAAAGAGCATAAATGTAGAACATAGTGTCACTCACGGTTTGTAGTTAAGTCGCAGGAATGAGGATTTTTTTGTGTTTTAATAAGGGAATATGCCATCTGGGTCGGTTTCCGCCAAAATTTTCGATCCAAGAATTGATTTTCTAATATCAGGAAATAGTGGTGTTTGTGTAATCGTATGATTACCGAAGTCGTCAGATCAAATATTGCAAAATGTACAGTATCAATACCAATTCCTCCAACATACGTCTTGAGCCAAACAGGGCCCAAAGATTGCATGTATTCTTGGACGGCAAGCCGGGGCTTGGTTCATGCCATTCTGCATGATGAATTAATTCTTAAACACCCAAACGCAACTTGCTCCTTTTGATCTTTTCCTAATCTGTCTTTATGGATTAAGTGAGCTAAAGGTGCGGAATAGACGTACAAGTGTCTAGCAGTATAATACTCCTCCGGTCCTTATTATAAGATCCCATTTGACTTTTTATTTGGTCCTAATTATAAGATCCCAATCCATTTTGTTTCTTATATTTATGCATTTTTTTCCAAGATAATCCTTCTAATAATGATAGTTTTAGCCAATATACTTAATTAGCAAGGATATTTTAGGAATGACAACACTTATTTATTATAAATAGCCAACTTAACTTACTTCCTTAATCTCCTCAAATAAGTCAATTGGGTCTTATAATTAGGACCGGAGGAGTAGCATTCTATTTTTTTACAATTTTAAATTCCCCTCCATACCTATTCCATTAACTGGCGTCTTTCTTATTTAGCGACCACCCCATATCAATTTCCCTCCTATGGTACGTTCTTCCCCACTCGTGAGAGCCCACAGATTCGTCTTCCGCTTACCACTTCATATTACCCAAAAAAAAAAATCCACCAAAAAAAATTTTAAATAACAAAATCAACAGGGTTCATATCCTTTGGAGAGTGGGAAAAATTGTTGCCCCGAATGGTAGCCAATAAACAATTAAAGAATCTATCACTTGATTTTTGGTGGCCAATCAGCATTTCCATTGCGTAACTTATCTCAACACGTATTCCATTGCGTGCCAAAGAAAAAAAACACGTATGCCAAAAAAGAAGAACTTATCTCAACACGGTTTTTTCTATCTATAGTTTATGTTTAAATAAGAATGTTGAATTCCTTGATACTTGACTCAGCCCAACGAGGTCATTATAACTTATTGAATTCTTCCAGATCTCAACTTTAATTTGCGATGGTTGAAAAGACCCTCGCCAGCTGCTGGTGATCCATTATTACAGGGCCAAGACTACGACGAATTAAAATAATTTCCTATGGAAACAAAAATAATTAATTCTCCTCGGTCTATAGTATAAAACATATTTTATAATATAAATATGTTATAATATAATTTATATTATAAAATAGATCTTACAGGATTGAATGGAGTATTAAATAAAAAGTATTTTCACATGCTGCACTTTCATTTAGTTCTCATTCAGTTCCAATCAACACGTCTTCTAAGTAAATGTAAGAAGAGTTTATTTGGAATACCTTATAAGCAGTTTTTTAATTGTGATTTACAGAATACAAGATAAGTATGTGAAAGAAGTTTTGTCTTGATTTATGTAAAACGTTTTTATAAATATTTAAGTGATGTCAAACAAGTTTTTTTTTTTTACCAGCAGTGATGTCAAACAAGCTACAACAAGCTTCAGAATCAGCCAACTATGTTAGCCAAAATAAAATTTAAAAAAAAAAAAAGAGGAGGAGGAGAAGAAGAGAATCAGTCAACTAAGCAAGGGAGCCATCGTGTGATGTAGCTGCTAAAAGTCGTCTCAGACTTGGGCTTAGCAAGTGGATGACTGAAATTGTCTTGAAACATAGGCCGATCAATTGGACAAGGCCCAAAATGGAAAATTAAAACAAATTTATCCGATAGGATTATGAAGTAGAAACCCTGCAAACGAATTAATTAGCCGACGACTAATTTGTTTAAATATAAATGAATCAAAACTTCACTTCACTACCAACTGTAAAATAAATAGAGAAAAATTACACTAGAAGCCTGAAGTTTTCAAGAATCTTTGAATTTCCCGCACATTTGATTAAATCCTTAAAATATAATTTATTCCAAGAAATATCTGGAACAACATTTAAGTGCTGGATACATATATTACGTGACAGATCAAGTGATAGATGTCAGGAGCACTATAAAACGTGCCTCGTTGACTTTTTGGATTATCCAATTTGGTCCCTCTAATTTGGGGTTTTCCTATTATGGTGTGTCCTTGTGTCTTTGCACCCCATCATTTCAAGTCTCAATTTCTAACTATCATTATCTCTTTTTATGGATGTTGAGCAAGCCACCTGATGTTTGGTGCTCCTTCTAATGGGTTCTACACGCCCTATATAAGTAACTTCACCTTCACTTTCCTTTCTCTTGTGATTAAACCGCACACTGATCTTTACATGACCATCCACAGAGGTACGCAAGAGTAACTTGGCCTAACTTTATCCTGGTTTCCGTTTCATCAGTTAATTCCGCTGCTACAAATTCTATTTTGAGATAATAATTTAGGGATGAAGTTTGCAACAATTGTGTTGGTGGTGTTGATGATGCTGAACATATGCCTGGCTGCGGACGAGAAGGACTCCGTGAATGAAATAAAGAAAATGGATTCAAACCAAGAGGCCGATGATTCCAGTGTTCCTTATGGGTATGGTGGAACCACTTCTGCAGATAGCCACCACCACATCCCGAGGCGCGACTACAATGGCGGCAATGGAGGTGGCTAAATCTGTGTATGCGTCCATGTTTACATCATTATATATATACATATACAACTGCCGTAGAAAGGGCTGAGGATAGAAAATAAAAAAGTTGCGGTGTATGCAATACTGCGGGTTGTCACCTATATATATATAGAGAGAGAGAATAAATTGCTGTGTAAAGCCATATATGTGATAAGTAGTGATCGTATTTATGTGCATGCTCCTTTTCTTTCTCTACTTTCCTCTTATGGCCATTCTTTTTGCCTGGTGACTAGTGAGATTGAGTGCCACTTCCCTTCGATAGACAGTAGAAACGCTAGAATTATGGAAACAAAAGGACATGAAAAGAAGATAACCAATCCTTCATATCGCCCAACAGATCGATCCATAGGTCTTCAAAATGATCAGAGCAATAGTAATTAAAAAAGGATCGAGGAGGCCTGAAAACAACGACATCGCCCGATCGACCACTCCCACCCAGCCGTGGCCTCGACAGCATCAAAGCCATGCCGTTTTAGGTTGGAGGGCCCGCACTTTTTTGTTAAACAGCCCATCACCGCTGCATCTCAAGACATAAAATATCGGTGGATATTCTAAAATTATGGTAAAATCTTACCGATACACAAAGTTCGGTTTTTTCCTTTTACTGAGAAAACCTTTCAGAACTTTTTGTTGTCAAGTATTGGTATAGTTGAGGGAGAGAATATAGATTCATGAGACTTCGATTCCCATTTAATTATATTCTGTGCATAATCACAGTATTTCCTTTATCTAATATAGATTTTTATTACAATACGCTTCGAATATTTTAATATCACCCATTATGATTACCAAAGTTGGCATACCACTTCCCCCTTTTCCAGACGTGATCGCACAGCTTTCAGCACTCAGACGCTACTTTTCTTAAGATGTACCTCGTTACGGCTTAAATCGTCAAGATAAGAAAGAGTAGTCGCTATTCCAACATTGAAATTTCATACTCTTTTCTGCTTTTGTTAGTTATAGCTCGCGTAACAATTAGCAGAGCGGTTCCCTAATTAAGCACAAACAGCACGTAAATTCGTTAAGAACCATACACCAGAAAGTTGAATTCGAACATCATCATTTTTCTCTCAACATGTTTCAAGACGAACCTTGCACGCCAAACTTCATGGCCAGCCCAAGAACTCACCTAAACCTACAGACATAAAAATAGTGCGTAACCCAGATATGGTCACTTGAACGTTGAATCCTTCTTTCACTGAAGTTTCGACAGTTCCACTCAGTATTTTCTATGCTATCGTCTTTCCTTATTTTTCATGTTTTCTTTCCAGTTCTACTTTGGTGTAAAAGCAGACAGAAGATCTAACCCACAAAGTCATGGATCATATGCTCTCCAAAGTGACGTCTAATCTGGTCCTCCTGGTGTAATTGTTGCTGCTGCTGCCGCTGTACGCCTTCAACCCCATGTCTAAGACCCAATGTTAATGACACAGAACCAAGTCCCCCCACATCGAGGCCTGCACCGCGCCTGTAGGGTACAGAACCCATTAATGTCCCATCCATGTTTGGCGTAATCTGATATTCCAATTTGGACCTCTTCTCTTGATTCCATTGCTCTGAACCCATAAAACCCATTCCCTCCGAATTCCCACCTAAGGAACTCATTCCCAAACACTGGAACTGCTTCTCCGGTACTACGTCTCCGTGCCTACCAAACTTGCCAAGGGCTTCTTCAACCATAGTTTGTTGACTGCTTCTTTCTGCACCAGATGTTCCCTCGTTCTGGTTGCCACCGGCGATGCCTTTCGTTTCAAGATTGTGTATTTCCTCAACCATTGGCTTCCACACACGGACTCGAGCATTTATGAACCAATTCGATACCTACATATTCCTCATTTGTATTATTTTTTTATATTTACACATGCATTCAAGCGACAATATCAGAAAGCTAAAAGGGTTGTAATACGGCAGATGTCGAGCCTTAATTATAAGGTTGCTGGACAAGAGAAAGAACACCAAACACAGATTACGAAGGCCTGAGAAATAAATGTTGTCCTGCTGGCCCATGGCATGGACCCATTAAAAACAGATTTGATGGCGTCAAATCCCAATTAATCAATCAACCAAACAGAAAAAACATACCGACAGAAAACAATAATGAAATAAGAGTAGGACCCCCACCTGGTTTCGAGATAGGCCAGTTTGTGTAGCCAGCATGTGTTTATCAGTATCCGTGGGGTACCTGGAAAGAAATCACGCAAGTGCGTCAATTTTTCTCGTCTTTCGACATAAGAGGGGAGGGAGGGACGAAGGGTTTACATACGGGTGAAGGAAATGCTCAAATAACCAAGCTTTAAGAATCGCGACTGCGCGTTCCGGCAAGCCTCTCTGAGGCCTCCATACTTGTGGATGTTCAAGAAATGCAGTTTTGTTCTTCTGAAAGCTCTGGTCCAGATATGTTAGCCCTGTGTCAAGTTTACTAACTGTACCAGACGTGGATCCTGACAAATCTTCCCCCAACGCCTCTCTCAAATGCTTGATCTGTTCTGAGATAGCCTTATTCAGGCCCCTGAAGTGTCTTGCTACTGACTTGAGAGCCATAGCGATATAAGGGGCAGCCGAACTAAGACCTGCTACTGACTCGAAAGATGAAATAACCATTTGCATTTGCTGGTGATATTGCCTGCATTTTCTCGTGACCTATTATTATAGCCCAACACATGATCAAATTAACGTCCATCTTTCAGAAGCATCTATGCACTACTATGACAACGCAAGTGAAGTAACAATCACACTTAAAAAACGATAAGCCATCAAACTAGTCCTCAAAAAAAATATTCATCACTGCCTAACTCCCAAGCATTACAAGATCTTAGCATTCCCAAAATGTGTTGATGGAAAATACGTAGGATAGCATCATGTTTATTCATCATTGTGATGGTACTGTTCTTTATGCTTCAAAGTATAACAATGATATCCTACTCGACATAGAAAGTTTGAGTACCATATCATGCCAATTTCAGCAAGCTGTTTTGCAACCAAGAACGTCATTCCAACCATCAAGCTCAATGACCTAGTGCTTTGTACATACAGATGGTAGAAATTTGATCAAGAATACATGATTAGAGGGTGGAAGAGACAGTGAAAATTGAAGGGTGATGGACTTTATGCGCTCCAGCTCACACTAGGCAGGGTTCCCACATACACACATATATATATTTACCGCCACAAGGCAGGATTCTTCCTAGATAGCCTACAGGTCTAGGTATATGTGGCACAGTACAAGCATAAGAAAGCAAACATTTTCTTTCAGAATCTTCTCCAAGATAGGAAAATACCTTTCCTGTGCATAAAAATTTTGTTCCTATAAAATCTTCTTTTTTTGGTCCGAAAACCCACTCCCATGAAATCAGAATAAAATATCTCAAACAACTAGAAAGGAAATTCAGAACCCACGAAATGCGATCGTGCTAATCAGGTTCGGACTATGCCTGCAACATATCTAGAAAATTTTTCACACGCAGATCCAAGGGAGTAATTTCTTAGGTGTAACCATGCATAGGATCAGGAAATTTTGCCCATACCGAATAGATAAAAGGGACTCCAAATAGCACTATCAACGATAGCATCGGCATCAACTAGATAATAACGAGATCCCTTTTCATTTTTACCCCTTCTCTTTCCCATCAGGTAAAAACCATAATCATGTTTATTTCACCTAAAAGGAAACTTTATGACAGCAATGCGCTCCAAAAATTAAAGCAAATTTGGCATTTGATTAAACAAAATGGGCCAGGTCAGGTTCCTCTCCATCGTCCCTCACCCTAAGAGACTCACCACTGCCCCCTTGTTTTGTTCTAAGGGTGGCACTACAGCTGTAGCAGCAACCAACCTGTTCTTCCACTCTCCGCTTTTTCTTCTTCTCCCCTCAGTTTTCCTAACTGTCTCCTTTCTTAATGGGAAAATTTATCTTAAAAGAAGCTTCCCCCTCATTAGGGCAAGAGCTTTGAACTTCAGTATAGTTTTCAAAAGATTTTGCAACCTCGCCCATCAGATCTACAACCCAAAAAAAAAAAAAAAAAAAAAAAGCAGATCTTGAAGGAAGAAGGCATCAGAAGGCTTTAATTCTCAGAAAGTAGACGGGTGAGTCACTTACACAAATATTACTGCCAATTCTTCTATTTATCTTTTAATAAGTTTTTTTAATATAAAAATGATCAAGGACTTTGTTGCTTCTATTTCCAGTTTTTGCGTTTGGTTTCAATAATGGGTCCATCACAATTCTCAAAATAATTGGCAAACCACCTTAGATTTAATACATTTCATTCTTAAAAAAGTATAATAATGACACACAATTTTGTCTGGTCATGAAATTAATCAAAAACTAATTACTAATATCTCAAAACATGAATGGTATCCATGAGATGGTGGAATAAGCTTCGAAATCCCCAAAGTCATACAAAGGAATCCATTAGCATCATAAAATACAAACATGTAATCCGCATCAATGATACACGCATTATCTCTAGTGGCATAAAAAAAAAATTAAAGCCTCCAAAAAGACAGCCGAACCTAATTCCGATCTTTCGGTCTTGTCGCTTTTCGGCAATCCGAAACGAATGACAACCTTTTATCTTAGTGATATGAAATTCTAGAGATCTCAAAGAAAAAAATTATGATAATTCCGAATAAATATAATCGCAAACTTGCTCTGACTTGCCCCTTTATCACTCCAGCTACTAATTTCTTCATTTTTTGGGGGAAAAAACTTAGCCCCACTTTTTATCATTATTTTAAATGATTCTGACTATTAAGGTTCAGAGTAAAGAAATACTCTTGAGAACTCATCACCCAGATTCATTTGACAGTGAGATAGCGTGAGGATCTTACAACCAACCCTCAATATACCGACAGACACCCAATTATCTACCTGCAGCACACGGCAATGTAAACATTTGGCTTTTCTAACAGATGAACAGTGCATTTCTGACAGATCTACTCGCTATAATATGAAAATATGAAAACTCCAACAAAAACCATCCTCACACTAGTTATAAGCACCCAATATATGACAAAAGTAAACTCATGAAATGCGTATAAGAAGCAGTAATTAATAACCAACCTCCTCTTGCATGTACAGCAGCTTCGCCTTTTTTTGTTGATACGCCGACCGAGAAGAATAATCAAAGTTTCCTCTTGATTCACAATCACCGCTATTTTCCTTGGAATTATACAAAATAGAACACGAAGCAGCACCTGCGTTACCAAGGCTAACTTTTGCACTAACAATTTCAGTTGCATTAGCTGCAGAAGTAGTACTGACTTCTCCAGACACCCTCGATAAATCTGAACCATCAGGTCCTTTAATAATAATGTTAGATCCACACATATTACAGAACTCATCCAACAGCTCTTGAGCTGGCTTTAAGAATCTCGAACTCTTCAAAATGGTTGCATATCCAGTGAAAGGCCCAAGCGGGCCCACATTACTTCGATAACTGCTAGTGCTCGAAGCTACTCCCACGACGTCTTGGAGTGATTTTCCGCAATCTTTAGTTACGAAGGAGGAGGGCTTCATAACAGATTTCGCAGATTTATCACATCGTGAGTAGAGTTCGTCTGATCCATGTCCACCATTGCATGGGAACCCAGAAATAGCAGTCTTGGAATGGGAATTTGATGAGAGTGATAAAGATAATCCCTGAGGATTCATGGGATCGCTCAAATTTGTATTTCCGAAATGAAACTGACTTGACTGATTTTGATTTCCTATCCAGATCCCATGGCCAGGATGTTCCATCTGCGGTACTATATGATCGGATCCTTGGGCACTGATAGAAGCGGACTTGACGATATCGTGCAAAGTATTCTGAGGAAGTGGAGGAGGAGAAGAAGGATGATGCATTTCCCCTAACTGCCTTCCGATGAGTTCGCTGTAACTAGGCTTCACCAAGTGCTGATACACAGACGCGTAGTTATTATTCAGCTCAGTCGCAAAATTAGAGTTGGGATTATTAGTTTCGTTTACCCCGGAACTACTTCCGTAATTAATCATCCAATCATGACCCAAGTTGTCTCGGGGTTGGTCGGCTGGCGACGGTGCTGGTTCCGATACAGATGTATGGGGCAATGAAGCATAGTGGGACAACATTAGTCTACTAGGTTTGACTTCGCCTCCAGCAGATAAAGCATTCAAAGGTGTTGAAAAACTAGCAATTTCCGATGAATAAAAAGCTGGTTCGTAAAGCATGTTTGCATTTCTCACACTCCTAACTTGCAGAAAATCCGAGTTTAAGCCCGCGTGTAGTGACAATTGTTCAATATTAGTCGGGAAATCTTGTAAATGCTGGGAACTATTCTGGAATCTCAACTTGTCACGCCGAATCTGTTGTGCTACATGCGATTCTGGCCTTAGACTGCTCATTCCAACCCCACACAAGACAGATGCGACAGAAAATCCTCCAAAACCTCAATCTTGATTGCTCGCCTGCGAAATATCCAGCATACTTTAGATGTTTAAAAGATCAAAACAAGCCCAGAACGCAAGTTGGGTAAAATAGTTTCGGACCCAGAACTCCTTTACCAATGAACAGGCACGAAAGAAACAATAATGAAGTAAGCTACTGTCATGAATGGCCGAAACGAACCGCACATACTATTGTAAACTTGAGCTAGTACTGGAAGAGAGCGACACATATCAAAGGGAAAAAATGGACAAAATGAGCCAAAAGAAACGTACATATATCCTACAACGAGTTTGAATGCTTAGAAGAGAAAGTTAGTTACGGTTACTTGTTCCCTTTCTGGTCACGAGGTTCGGTTCGACATAACAAAGAAAGTAATCTTTAAAACCCTCTTCCCCACCCCGACCGAAAGATGTCTCTATTACAGACGCATAGGTCTTGCATCTGCATATTCTCCGCCAGACACTGCAATCCCTATTACTGGGTCGGTTATACGTTCTACATAAGCCACCAAATTAGCATCCTCCAAAACCAAAACAAAAGCGAGCTAAGACCTCCCCATCAACGTGAACCACAACACGCAACTTTAAACCATCCTAAAACCCTAGTTTGATGCCCCTCGAACAGATCTACTGGTTCATACTCCGACTATACCCTAACAATTCCCGGACTCCACAACTAGCTCGAGCTATGTAGTGAGACTGTGGATGAAAAATCTGAATTTCCATTTATAACCGTAAAAACTAACGAGCGAGAGAGAGAGAGAGAGAGAGAGAGAGAGAGAGGAATTTATGTACCAGTAACGGCAGAACAAACGAGAAACACATGAAGACCAAGAACGAAACACCGGGTAAGAAGTTAAAGTGGTTTGGGGAGTGTGTAAGCTGCAGATATATTATAGAAAGAGAAGGATGATGCTGGTGCATCGTCAACTCTTGTAAGCAGGAGTTGCTAGAAAACAAAAGGTGCAGTTTTATTACAGTTGACGGGAACAGTGGGTTCATTATTACCTCGGAAAAGAAGTAGCAGTGACCAGATCGCAAGTTGAGGAGAGAAGCAGTGAAAATTCCGATGAGGATAGGCTTGGGAGTGCACATTCCGGCGAAGCAATGAGAAGCGAATGGTGAAGAGCGAGAAGTGGGAAGGCGCACTGCACTGCACACACCCCCAACAATGATTGCAATATAGGATCATCGGTGGTCGTTAGCTTTTTAACGTATAAAGCGCTCTTTAACACCATATTAACGTAAAGTCGCCGTTAATAAATTTATTTTAAGTGGTTGGGGAATGTGACGCTCCTCCTTTAGTTTAGTACCATACAATGTTGTATTATACGGTCGTCTTCTCTTGTCTAATTATTTTTCCCTTTCTCCCTCAGAAGTGTCCGGTTTTGTTTCTCAAGTACAAAAGTTCTTATCTTTCTGGTAGGTGTAGACTTTAGATTTGGATGCTTAGATTTGGATGCGTAGATATATAGATTATCTACGCCAAGGAGTAGATTGGGCTCGTGCTATAATAGTAGAAACATCAATTAAAGTATGATTTTTATATTTATTATTGTTGTCGTTTGTTTTAATATATACATCTACTAATGGTTGGCAGGAGACCCGGTGCAATTAAAGTCACTCTTGTTATATGTACGACAATTGACCTCCCAACCTCAAGACGACAAATTGCAACCTGGGAACGGTCAAATTGATGGGAGGCAGAGCAGATATTTTTCGTTATCTTTTCTCAATATTTTGTAAATTTAGTAGGAGCCAGGAGGATGTAAAACGGACTTGCGGCTAGTTATATTGGTTTATATTCAAATTAATATAAATTCATTTTTTCTCTAACATTATGTGATGACTGTAGCAATTATACTTAAATCAAACTGCGCGCTTTGTTAATATCACAATTTCGGCAACATAATTAAAACTCACTAAGCTCAAGTCTTTGATTGATTTTTTTCAAAAAAAAAAAGAAGAAGAACATTTTATCGGAGTTAGCTAGGTTAACAGGGAGGAAAGTGAAAAGGAGCACTCAAGGAAGGAGAAGAACAATTCAGGGAGAAACACATGCGAGGATCCACGAAATAACATAGGATAAATTGATATACCAAGATGCCCTATTCTTTTTGTAATATCTAAAAATTTGTTTGAAAATAACTTTTCTTCCAAATGAGGATATTACACTTGTATCAAGGCAATATCATCATCTGTGCAAAAAGCTTAATTCCAAACGACCATTTAGAACTACAGTGAAAATAAGACAGAAATTGATTTGTGATTTCATGCGTCTGTTTTACATGGCTTTCTCCCTACAACTGAAGACGTCATGGGAATGTTCGTTTCGGTAGGCTAAAACGGGGCGGGGGACTCGTTTGATTTCAGTGACAGATAGGATAAGAATGATGCTTTTAAAGTAAAAATGAAAAGAAACAGAGAAAGAATGAAAACACCAAAAAAAAGAGGGGGGGGGGGGAGGTTTTAAAAATAAATGATGCATGGACGAAGCGTAAAAAGGGTACTAAAATTACGTGGTAGAGAATACAAAGGACGGATTGGGAGAGGAGAGAAGTAAAAGTAAAAGAAAACAGAAAGTAAAAATGAGAGTACTGAAAAAGTTAAAACAAAGGGAGAGAGAAGGTGATGGCATATGTTGGACCACGTGGGTCAGTCCAGCTTAGAGCTATTGTTGATTGAACCGAGGGACGACACCATCCCTCACATCGCTCCTCGTTCCCAACAATCTTTTGTTCATCATAACTCTTCATGTTTTTTTGACTCCCGGTGGCAAACGAGCTTATGATTTTATTGAGGTATGAAGGTGTCAAAAAAATGATGATTCTGCAGTTATAAGAGAAGCGAATAAATCTGGTTTGAATTGCTCAATATGTACATCTCAACTGGGACTTTATACTCCCACTGGTTGTTATTTGTAAAGAGAAGATGTAAAGGTGAGAAAGAAGAAAGGAATAAGGAGGAAGACAGAAAGGTACAAATGGAGGGAACAAAATAAAGGAAGGAAGCGGAGGGCTCATCGAGATGAGGAATAAAAAATGGAAAGCGAGGGTGGAGATTAAGAAAGAAGAACAGAGGCTGGAAATTGAGCGTGTGATCAGCTTTTCTCGTGTTATCGGTAAATGGGGATATTACCACTGCCATTAACCAAAAGATCTTCCCCACTCTGCTCCTCTCCGACATTCGAGCCACCCTCTCCTCACCTTACGTCATCTCCTCCTCCTTCTCTCTCTCCCTTTCTTTCTCTGTTTATTTCTCCTTTTTATCCATGCATTACTATACGATCTACACTCTGGTTCTAGTAGACCCGCACAAAGGCAGTTCTATCTGTATATATTTAACTTGGGAAGATCACACGGTCGATTTTGATGTAGGCCTTGGAGTACTGAAGTGTCAGGTCAAGCCCTGGCTGCTGGAGGAGATATGAGAAAATGTAACTGAAACAAAGGCTAATTATGAGCATTAATGAATCGGATGGAGTGAAAGCCATCCACAGGCAAAGAAGTAAATGAAGAATTCAATGGCCATCTCTGTTCGACCCTCCACACAAAACCAACCGCCTGTTCTTCGTATCCCTCCCCACTGAAGTGCATCTTGTCCGTTATCTGTCTCAAATTGTGCATGCATGGGACCCCTTATTTAAATAAAAGGCCTACCCACATGGTATACTGAAATAATCTCCCCTCGGACAATAAAATCCTCAATATGCCCACATTAGAGTAACACCCAAGTTATCGTAATAATTAACTATCTGGTTGAAGCTTGGACATATGGATGATCCCATACATATTCCCATTACAGTAAATCGAATAGAACTATGTGTGCGGATAAAAGCTAAGCAGGGGAAGGATGTGTGCTTAAAATTTGAGGAGCCATAAAAAGAAAAGACAACAAAAGGAACAATCGCTATTAAAGTGTGGGGGGCGAGGACGGAGGGGGGTTTTAAATTGGTGGTGAGGTCAGGCAATCACGTCACTACAGAAACCCTATATTAGAAAACTGGCCTATATTAGCTGCCTACCATGGTTGCAGTACTATAAATATCCATTGCAGGGCCTGCCCTTAATGTGCCTGTGGGACTGTAGGTGCCATTTGGCCTTGTGCAACGCCCTCTGTCCTCTCAGTGCATGTCACTTTCAACCTTTCACTTCTCTCTTTCTCTCTCCCCATTCCAACGTTTCTTTCCCATTTTTGGCACTGCGCTTTCCCCATATTCACGCCACTGCCATTCTTCTGGGGCTCCATCGCCCTCCTCACCCAATCGTGTCCCTTCATCCTCACTCATCCTTTAAAATCACTCCCACTTTTCACTGTTCAGCCCTTCTGTTCCTTTGTGCATTTTGGGTAATCCCGCATAAAGTTAATGCCTGAAATAAATCAAGCCAAACCGCGCATATGGTTCTCTCCTTCTCTCTTGTTTCCCAATTCACGCTTCCATTTGACGAGCACATGTTCTCTCCATATCTTTCAGGATTCACAATATCAGTGTAGTATGCATGGCGTTAAATCTCTACTGTATATTTTGCGCTAATAACTTGAGGGAGACCTGGATTATTGTTTTTCATTATACTGCATGTGCGTGCATGCCAGAGTCAACACGGATGTGGAACTAATGAACTTGATGGTTGAAGAAAGAGGATGCCTATGTAACTAGGGGTCTATAAATGCTCTAGCTTCAAGGAAGAATATGAATGATATTTCACGAAAAGGCAGATGGCTGGGTTGAAATCTCAGTCACATTGATGATCCTTCTTCATTTGTGTAATCAATCACATGAAAGCATCTAAATGATGGGTGGGGTCTGTCCAGGAAGGAACATGTTCCTTTTTTTCCTTTGTTCAAATGTGCAAACCAACATGGGTGATTGCCAATTCCCACAAAAGGATGCGGATCAATCACGAACCCGCCTTTTTACAAAGGAGGGTTACAAAGAGAATCAGCATGTTGAAATGCCAGCCAGCGTAATATATGCAATCTGCTCCCAACAAAAAATGTTGCTTTGATATAAATACAGTATCAAATAAACCAAATATTTCAAACTCGATATATCATCAGTGCATGCCCACTTTCCGTTATCCTTCCTGCTTTTTCACTCATGTTGCTTTTACAGGAGGAGGCCGCAAGTAACAACATTTACTGTGTCTACTGTTGATTCGTGAAACCTTGGAAATACACGAGAGCACTGTGTTGCTTTTTAGTACAGGCTCCAGCAAGAAGAAGATTATAAAATTGGCGAGTGAGGGTAAAAAGTTTCTCAGTACTTTAATAACAACAGGGATCTCGCTGTGCTAAGCAAAACTTTATTTAAAGGGAAAAAGGATGCTAATTTGCTGCTAAAGGTGCTTTGTCCTAAAATAGGAATGTTAATCAGGCGGGAGTAAATAGGGTGGGAGTATGATTGATGGAATGAACTGAGACAGATTCCTCAAAACTCGACAGCAGCGAAGTTAAACCTCGGTGACTAGGATTCCCAAAGTGTTAAAATAACTATTTATTGGTAAACCCACGCCATCGTGCTAATTACAAACCTTTTTCTTTCTTGTTTGGTGAATCTCAGTCATAATTTTCCTTTCTTTCCTTTTTTGATCAAAGATTACGTGGCCGAAAAGAGCCTAAAGAATTGGGGGGGGGGACCTAAAGAATGGAGTCTCTCTCTTGCCAAGGAATATAATCGGGCTGGCCGATTTTGGGCTAATGAGTGCCTTCCTGGCCCAATGTGGAATTCAAGATGCCAATATTTTGCTTCCATGCGTGGAAGGTTGGTATTGTCACTGTGTTTACGCAATGCGCACCCCTCGTTTCGTATGGCCCCAAACCCTTGCGTATTCCATGTTTTTGGGCTCCTTGATTCTATGTCCAGACCTTTGGGTAACACGTGGCATTAAGCCCATTATGATCCCCGATTTTCTTTTTGAAGACATCTCTCGATCTGTATTTGCATGCCTAATGCCCCACGCCCATTGTTACCACTTTTTATTTAGTTGCACATTCTTCTGGGTCGCTGTCCGGAGCTATGTTCCTGAGACCGACTCAGAAATGAACTTTCGACGTTACATGAAGCCTTGCAATTCTCTCCATTCACTCATTTGTGAATGATTAGGATTCCTTTCATCCGTCACTGTAAATAAAGAGCAGGTGGTCCCCCTAA